ATGAAATAGAATATTATAGTGCTAAAACAAATGGGCAAGGCCCTTAGAAATATCTCTGTGTTTAATGAATTTGGGGGAAAATTTTAAAGAGGTTATTTGGCATGCTTAAAAATGTGGCCTGAGAGAGTGGCCACGTTTCCGTGTGATAGGCTCCCCATCCCTGGCTGTGCTGAATGCTGGGAGAAGGTGGGGAAGAGTGGAAGGGTGGGGACAGGCCTTTGGGGCAGCCCCAGGGCTAGTGTTGGTGAGTCTGGCCCCTGGGCTTGGGTACTGAAGGTGAGTGTGTCAAGGGTTCTTGGAACATTGGAGCCTTTAACCTTGACATGTAATTCAGGGTCTGATTTAAAGTTCTAGACTGAGTAAATTTTGTGGCTCAAAACATATGAGAGCACTGAGATATTTACAACTGATCTTAGGAAATGGCCAAGTAAATGTTTTAAAATTACAAACAAATTCCAGGTTAGGTTCAGCCTCACATATTTTCATGGGGGTAATTTATAATTTCTCAGCTGTGAAATGGGGATGCTGGAGTAATCTTTTAGAGATGGTTCTTTCTCATATTTCCTTTCCCTAGTATTGAGAGGAATTTTGAAGTCTCCATTTTTCTTACTATTACTTTGGAGAATGCTTTGATGTGCTGAAGTTGGAGTTGATGGGAGGGTGTCTTCAGTTCTTGTACAGGCCCCTGGGAGTACCCTTTCCACAGCAGGTGACTTTTATGCAGATCAGATACAGTTGTTGTCTTTTAATCCATTGAGATACCACAGAGCCAGGGTGTTTTGGGGAGAGCATCCTTTTCCGAAGAAAATCTGCAAACTGGGTTCGTGAATGTCTGGGTTGCCTATTTAGTCAGGCTGCCCGTGGTACTCGGGGTGGAAAGCTGTCTCCACTTCCCAAATGAGCTTGGTGGTAGTGGTCATGTGGGTTGATTACCACACCTGTTTGAGGCTTGGGGCTCTGGCCAGGCTGCCCCTTCTGAATCTGGCTCAGTGTGTCTAGGTTGCCTTCAGTAGGGAAGCACTGCCCCAGCAGGGGTGGGACTTGTCACTGGTGTGATGTTAAATATCTGCATATGCTCCAGTTCTCATTTAAGGGCAGTTCAATTTAATTGCTAATTGCCAGCCCTGTGTTTACTGAAATGGCTGTCATGCTTGCTGTTTTTTATGCAGCACTTTATTGCAGGACAACTATTATTGCACATGCTATTTCAAGTCACTGGGCCAGGGCGATGTCATGTGTGGTGTGCTCTGAACCTCAGCTGGTTTTGCAGTATTAGCTCTTCCAGGAAACAGCAGTCCTCTTGAAGCTGAGGCCAGTCAGCTTTAAGTCATTAAAAAGACATTCTAGGCCCCTTCCTGCTTCAGCTGTCAGTTTGTAAATCACACAGCACTAATTCTTCATCAAATAACAACTTAAAACAGGAGACTGTCAACCCAGTTTATAGTCCATCCTTAAATCACATCATCGAGGAAACATTTCAAGAGAATGGAGTTGACTCTTCTTTTTTTTTTTCCTTTGTGAATGACCATCATAAACCTAATGCTTTAGGAGGAGCTCTCAGAAGACTAAGAATGGTTTTAGGACAATTTTGCCTCAGTAAATCCTCTCTACATTCAGGCATTTATTAGGCCATTACTTGTTTGAGGAGGACAGATTAGCCTGGCAGCTCATTATCTAGATAAATAGGCTTTAGTGAAAGATTTTCAGTGAGATGCTTTAGGGAAAAGAAGGACCAGGACAGGGTAGGGGGAAGCCATCAGTTATTTGGCCTTTTGCTCTTAGGATCCTTGAACAGATGATTTTAGCTAGGACCTTTCTATCCTGTCAGGATTTGTTCACGTCTTAAAGGATGCAAGTAAACCCAATGCTGTCACCTGCACAAGTGGAGGCCTGCCAATAGGATTCTATCAGCATGAGTTTGATATGCATTTCAGGCGGCGTTGGGGTGTTTAGATTAACTGTATCACTTTAGAACTCACGATGGTGGTGGAAGTGCTTAGCCCAGTTGTATTTCATGGAGTGGAGGCTGCAGAAGTCTGTGCTGCTTAGTCTGTCAGCTGACTTTATTGGGACAAGTCTATAAAGGGCCCACCTATAACAAGACCCCTTTATGCCCTGCAGATACTTTAAAAGAGAGAGCTTGGGGGAGATGCTCTTACGTGACTTCTGCTAAGCTATCTGCCTAAGGGAGCCCAAAAGAGAGGGTTTCATTCGGATGCTTCCCTTCTCATAGTCAGGGACAGCACTGTGCAAAAATAACCCATGAATGTGTTTATTTTTGGAAACCCATGGAAGAAACATGGCAGCCGCTTCCGTGCTGCTGCTTAGGTAACAGGTAAAGAACATGGCCTTTCATGTAGATTTTACAGTTTTCCCCAGTAGTCACTATGTAGAATCCTTGAAATGATGCAGCAAAATTCAGTTGAAATGAAAAGTACAATATACATTGTGGGTTGTAGCCATAAGCAATATACTAATTAACCAGCTCAAAGCTGGAGGAGGCTGTGTACTTTCAAAAATTTCAGGAAAGGCTTCTTCCAGATTAACAATAATTGCTTAAAAGGGGGAGGGGTGATTTTGGAGCAATAATGATCCAAATTCTTTTTCCTGGGCCACATATACCTTGAGAGGAACAGAATCACTTTGATGTATAAACCTGGACAGACAAAAATGACCCAGAATGTAGAAGGCTCAAGGTGAGAGCAGTCACCAGCTGCTCTCATAGAAAGCCCACACGTGGCTCTCCATTAGTTTGTCTCACAAGTAAATGAACTTGCACTGAAGACTTCTCCGTGCTAGGGAATGTGCTGAGTGCTGGAGCAGACATCCTTGCCTTCCCACCAGACCCACCCGGCCAGCCAACCTCCGCTTCAGGCACCAAACACACGCTTTGGGACTGACCAGGCAGAGCTGGTTCCAGCCAGTATTCAATCAGACCCTCACCATTATACACCTTAGAGGTGTGTAGATTCCAGTGACAGATGGCAGTGTCTTCCCCTATAGGGCCAACTTGTACACATTAATGAGATATTCTTCAGAATGGTAAACCCAAAAACTGAATTCACATAAGAATGTAAAATGGTATTTCACTGAGGTTTCTTAGGAGCAGAGCCATACTTGGGGATTTCTTAGGGTGTTATGTAAACTTACCTTACAGATATGAATAGCTCGTCAGGTTCCGATCAGGCCTGTACTTTCATTTTTTTTCTAGTAGCAGTGATAACAACACGCAAAGTCCAGTTTTCAGGATTTCAGAAGTCGACATTCAGGACAACAGGCAGTTGTCAGAACTGAACAAGAGTCTGTAAAGATCCAGTGTTTCAACAAAGGCATTTTTCTCTGGAATGATCAGTCTATATTATGGTTTTCACTCATCGTAATAGTTCTGGTAAACTGTCTTTATTTGGCTGCACCCCCATTTAAGTTAGGCCTTAATTTCAAATGGTCTGCAAAGATCAAATCTTCAGTGCTTTCTGTATAGCTTAATCACCAAGAAGCCAGAACTTTTGATGAAAATGGAATTTACAGAACAAAACAACTGAACGTTATTGTTTCTTATGAAATAAAGATCCTGCCGGATTCCAATCTCAGATCACCTCTGTCCGTTTGCAGTTCAGCGACTTGCTGAGCAAGTAGAACTGCCTTTACCTTTCTCTCTTGTAGAGAGGTTTGGTAAAAATTACTTTTAGACCCAGTAGTTTTCAGTACTGCAATACATTATAGAACAGTTGTCTTCCTGGGTGACGTCACATATTCTACAATTCAAAGTCGCTAATCTTTTCAAGTTATGTTTAAACATGCCACCTCTCCCATTGTCTGAAAAATGAACTACATGGCTGGTTTCCTTTCTGCCCCTTTTTGGATGGGCTAGAGGGAGACAATTGTCTCATCACTCTTACTTAGGGAAGTCCTGAGCCAGTGTCTGCAAGCCAGGAACCATTAGTTGCTAAACTGGAAATGGAGGGTAGTGCCCACTTCTCCAGTTCCCCAGCTGCCACTGGAGCAACCTTGACAGCACAACGCTTTTACTATTCTTAGTGGCCGGGGAACTCACAGCTTAAAGTCAGGGCCTCCAAATATTTTGTTCTCTGGTGTCACAGTTTGACAGATACGCTTTTAAGAAGCAGCATTTGCAAAACTGGTCTTTTGGTAAGTGTATGAGTCAGAGGTAACAATGACATATAAGGAAGGAAGGAGTGCTCCAGAGAGAAACAGCACTGTGGTGAGGACGGGAGCAGAGGCAGCACAGCCTTCACTGTGATGCTGTCAGCTGCACCACAGTTATTGTTAAAGGTCATGATTTGGATTTCCTAGTTTATATTATTTCCATGCAAAACAAATCAGCTTAATGTTCTAGCTTTTTTTCTGTTTTTTTTTTTTCTGTTTTTTGGCCTGAGGGTTAAGGGGAGTTGTCACCTGCACAATCTTTGAAGTGTAAGTTAATTTTTTAATGTGATGTTTTAGTATATATTTTATTCATTAAATTTATTTGAAAACTTCAGTTGTCTTTTTAAAAAATCATTTATTTTCAGGTCTGTGCCTTCTAGGATTGGTAGAGAGTTGAAGAGGCAGTATTGCTTTACTAACAGTAATACTGGTAACCATTACCACCTTCTGCGCCGGAGACCTCCCTAAATGTGTGCTTACACTGTGCCCGTTTACTCTGTCGTGTTTTCATCTTTACCTATTTTTAGGTCTGAATATACTGCACCCAAATTATAGTCTGTCTTCATCACTGCTGATCTGTTAATGCACATCCAACAGTGAGACCTTAGGACGTGCTTAAAAGTTACTTGTTGAATGAGGGGTCTTCCCACTTGGATTCCCAGCCTCCACAGCCAGAGGTTCTGTTCACCCTCTTTTGCCTAACATGCTTATCAGTCTTTCCCCTTTCAATAAGCTCTATCCTGTTGCTTTAAAAAAACTGTTGCATGAACCAAAGAATGAAAATTCTTCCTATAAAACACAGCATTTGAAACACGTTTTATTTAGTTTAGAATTACTAAACAAAAGAGTATGGTATTCCTTAACCATGGCTACAGCCATCACGAGACCCTTTTGCTGTGAATGAAACAAAGGAGGAACAGCCCCGTTTCCTGTGGAGGCCGCATCCCAGGCACAGGCACAGGCCGGACTGCATTGCGAGGACACAGGGTGGGGACGGTGAGGCTCCGGCTGGGGAGGGAGATAGGTGCTCTCAGAGCACAGCATGTCAGCATTCTCAGGGCTGCGTGCTGTCCCTCATGCTGTCCCTCAGGGCGAGGGACAGGAGCCCTGGGAGGAGGACAGCTTCCTCTCCAGTATTGTCTTTATCACAGTTGGATCTGCTCGGCTGAGAGTGGCCTTCCGGACCAGCCCGATCAGCTTGTTTATGGCTCTGGGGTTTCCCTTCACATCCATTACCTTTAAAGACAGGAAATGGAGAGTGTGAAGAGACTCATACCTAGAAATCCCCAAAGAAGGTTTAAGTTTACTAAAAATTAAATTCAGTTTCTTTTTCCCATTAGTATTAGATATAAAATGAGTTAAGCACAAAGGGTGGAGGACTGACATGGGAAGTTTCCAGGCTCCTATTGGGAGGTTTTGGCCACCCTGCCGGCTAATTAAAATGAATAAGGAATGACTGCTGGCAGCCCGAGAAGCTGAGGAACCAGGACACGCTCTTCTGGGGGCACCACAGTGACCCGAGGACACCGTCCTATAAGTAACCCCTTGGAGTGAGTCTCGGGGCCTAATTGGTGAGGAAACCTCCCTGATTCTCCAGGGATGTTCAGCAGCCGCTGAAGCAGGTACACGGCTTTCCCTCTCCCCTGGTCCCAGATGAGAAGATCCTTTCATTACAAAGCAAATCTATATATTGGCAACTCATCCAGAGCACTGGGCCAGGGGGAGTGTGCTATGGCTGGCAGGTGGGGGCTGATGAAGGCAGGAGGCGCTGAATTCCTGTCAAACAGCCCTGACTATCGGGGCTGCCCGCTCTGACCTCCCACGGCTCTGTGCTCAAGTGCTGCAGAACGAACTCAAAGTGTGTCTTTATCAGTCGCCACAGACGAGGCAGCATGATGGAGAGTGCGGAGACCCAGTGCAGGCTCATTTTCCTTATCAAGAGCTCTTTACAGAGCTGTTAGTGTTCCTGGCAGGCTGATGGGTGGGTGGGTGTTATTCTGAAAGAGATACTAACAGTTTCTTCCCCCACTGAAAAATACCTTTAGACAATATGATTAGACGTGGCGGGGGCGGGGGGAGATGCCACCCATTTGAGCTTTTGTATCTTGGACTGTGCTAAGAACACAAAATGACTTGGTTTTCAGCCATGCTCCTGTCTGTCAAAGATTTTCTCCACAATTTACAAATCCTTTCCCTTTCTGCTTTTCTTCCCAGCTCTTAAAGACAGGAAGCTGAAGCCATCCGTTTCCTGTCTCCCCTGCTAGCACCAGCCGGGGGAGGGTGACATGCTGGGAGGTAAAAACCCTGGCCTTCATGCCCCCTTAACCACGCCTCCATGGAGAGTAAACTCGAGTGGGGCTGCTGCTTATGAGAAGAAAAGTTGTATTTTTCCATTATTCACCTAATTTCACCTCTTTTGACCTTAACTAAAAAGCTGACAAAAGTAATTAGGGGACTATCTATGAAACTGGACCAGCATCATTGGGAAGCTCCTGTGGGCAGCACAGGGACCGTGGAAAGGCCCTTGACTGCGTCCCTCAGCTGGCCGGCTGCCGGTCAGGAGGTGGCCCCTCATTCCTGTGCTGTATGATGACACCCCCTCCCCTGCCTGTGACAGTCACCACGTGAGGATGTGCCTGCATCACAGAGTGGCAGAGCTGCTCCAAGGCCTCTTGATCCTGCATCAGTTCAAGCTTCTTTTCTGAAACAATTTGTGCTGGAGTCTTCCCTTCATTCTTCCACAACTCCTCAAATACCTGCAGGCCACAGGGGAGAGGGGAGGAAAGAGAAGCGGGGAGTCAGCCCTTTTGTCGGCTCCACTTGCTACTGCTGAGATGTGCAGGGCCAGGGCAGGAAGGAGCAGATTCAATTAAGACCCAGCTGTGTGGGCCTGGCCCGAAGGGGGAGGACACCTGGCTGCCCCACTGGTGCCCCATCTCTCCTGAAGCATCTCTGACTGGAGGGCTGGGGAACAAGGCCACTTGAGACAAATATAAACAAACATGCAGTTTCCTCCTGGTGCTGGAGTTGTCTCTTGGTATAAAGAACAAGAAGATTCTGGGGTCAGCCAGGTGCTCAGCAAGATGGTGAGTCTTCCCGAGCTGCTGACTCAAACCCGGGCTGCACCTGTAGTAGGCAGAGAGGCCAGAGGTGGCATGGGGATGGTGATTACTCAGACTGCTGCTCAGAGGAGTCAGAGGGCCAGTGATGGATCTGTCTCATGTCCCCTGAATTAATTAACTGAGGCGACACTCCGGTGAAGGATGGGGCTCCACAGCCGCAGAAAGTACCCACTGCACTTAAAGCCCAGAAGCCCAGCCTGCTAGGAAATGTGATGGGGGTGACAGGGGAGGAGGAGAGTAGCCCCACAACAAAGATACAAAATGGAAAGTAACTAAACACCTCAATTATCATCCACAGGGGCCCCTGGTCTACCAGTTCTCCCCTACAGGTACATCTGGACCCAAATCCGACTAGGATAATTAACACTTAATAGTCTGTGTATTTTTCTGCTTAAGAAATGATAACAAATCCCACAGCTGATCAAAGGAATCTGGAAGAAAGGAAAACACTTAGGGAAGGCATTTCCTAGGGTGGTAGTTTTCCTCCTTCCTTTTGTTTTCTAGTGTAAACCAGAATGGGGTGTCCTGTCAGCCTCTTGCCGGCACTGCCGCCCTCTCACTCATCTGGGCACTGAGCCCTGCCTCTTTCCTGGATAGCTGAGAATGGCCCAACCAGGAGCCATTCCCTAGAAAAATGGGGCTCTTCAATAATTAGCACACACAGGACAGGAAAGGAAGGGGAAGATGCTGTGAGTCTCAGCAGGGCTCCAAGTTTTCTCCAATCTGAATCAAAACAAACCACACATAGTTATGGCTGCGACAGGTACTGCACCTCCAGCTCAGCTCCTTAGAGTGTGCAGTGATGGTGGCAGGGAGGTATGCTGGGTGGGGCCCTCTGCAAGCCTCCCATGGGGCACCCTCTGGCCACTGCCACCCTGCCCTGCCTGCTCAGGGACAGCCTGCCCCTGCTCTTAGAAGGACGCAGGACACGTGTGCCTCCAAGTCAATTCACCAAATATCTACAGAGCCTGGCGAAGAAGGCACTGCAGGGACACAGGGAGGAAAGGACTGTCCTTGCCCTTAGCACACTTGGTAAGGAATACCGGCAGCTCTGGATTGGAGACAAGTACAATTTTTAATGCGATTTGTAGGTGGGGGCTGCCCCTAAGCAAGTCTGAGGAGACCCTCTT